TCTTGCTTTTGGTTCCTGACAGATCTAAATGTATAAACCAATCATATTGAAGAATTTTACAACAGTTGCAAAGCTGCTTTCTCTGCTGAACGCAGCCAATCATAAAACGGTTGCAAAACTGTTGAGTCTGCTGAACGCAGCCATTGATTACCGCATCGCATTTTGCCGTGCGGCAAGCGTCTAGTGTGCGGGAGTCATGGCTTAAAGCGGGGAGCACAGACTTTTGCATAACGCATAACATGTAATGAATAAGAAATTCAATCAATCAGAATTCTTTATTTCATGGAAAGGAAGGAAATGGAGGGCTTTGATTGGTACATTTTCTTATGCATTACGTGTTATGCGTTATGCAAGAGTCTGTGCTCCCCGCTTACGGCTTAAAACTCTATTGTAGATCCAGAGTAATCAGAGCTCTGGAATATAATAACAACCTTGTTCCTAAGAGCTCTGATTGGACGATTCGTTATTCCATGTTGCCTGTACTCATTGGTTGCGTTCCATTAATGCTCGTGAGCATTTGTCCTTATTTAACATTTCATAAACGACAAGGATGAAATGATTCCACGAGCGTTGTGAACGTAAGTAGACGCAGCCATTGTATATGTAGCTTATCTCTTAACTATCCCTAGATTTTACTCTCTTCCATCTGTAATACTGTGTATGTACTAAGCTAAGTATGCCTTAATCTATAATCCGCCAGGAAATGGCATTGATATGTATTAATATCTAACAACAATGAACCGCACGCTGTTTATTTAATTCAGAGATAAGATAAGGTAAGGAAAAAGAAGCTTCTCCACTATTAGATTTCACCACTATTGTGTGAGAATTACGCGGTTAAAATTAAGGCAAAATGGCGGCCTGATATGTACAACAATTTTTAATACGCGTAATGTTATGTTATTTTGTCTGTCGAAATATATTCCGACAGGGAGACGAATTGTGGATTAAATAAGGAAATTCAACCGACTATTTTGTTTCGCGCGAATGATAATCAATAATTGATTCAGCTCGGCACAAGTTGAAGCTTCATTTGATCTCATTGAACATCGTGGCGCCAAAATTCTCTTCTATACAATCACAAACATGTGCCTGATTATCCGATTGCATTAGCTGGGCCGCTGAGTGATAACTGACAACAAGTGATAACTATATTTCCAATATTTATCGACACGCTAACGGGAGATGTCTATGCAGCCTAAAGCACGGGGTATGAAAAACTTTCATATATACAATATAATTAATAAAAGCTTTTATTATAAACAATAAGAGTACATTCGGTTTCATACATGATGTGCATAATGCATTTATCCTTGTTTAACATTTGGTGAATAACAAGGATCAATGGTGCATCACGAATGAAATAGAATGCAGGCTATTAGGAGCATATAAGCGTAGTGTTGGATATTATTATTTAATTATTCTTTATTTTTTTTAAAAAGTTAACTTTTTCGACCATTTTTCTGGTCTCCAATATAATTAATTCTATTTTATATATATTATAATTAATTAAATCTATGCTATTCGCTGCAATTCAATAATTTGTCTTCACTATTTTCCTCCATAATTGTTTGCCAATACATACTTAATAATCTCATATGTCGTCAATATTATAAACATCCTATGTTTCTAAAATAATTATTTCGATAATCCTCGTCGTTTTTGTTGTTCTTCTTTCAGCCTCCGTGGTTTATTGTGACATTACGGTCGATGATTACGGTACATAAGTGCCAATTTTTATATATGAATTATTCTTACTAATATTATGTTTTATATATGAGATGAACAAAATAAGAGTTTTCAAAGTAAAAATTCTAATGATGTGAGAATATGATTCATTAAAGATTATTATATATCTGCAACTCTATAAGAATATAATCATAGAGGTATACTTAAATGAAATTTTATAAATAAATTAATAATTATGAGAGTTAAGATTATCAAATTACAAATTTGTGATTATAAAGTGAGATTTGTTATTATATGTACTTGTACAATAAGCATAATCATCCTGTAACAATTTAATTTATGAAATTTGCTAAGTGATTTCAGACATTGGTCATATTTAGACGTTTTTCAACTGTTGTGTAAGAATAACTTTACTGTAGTAAAGTTATTCTTACACAACACATATATTGTTAATATATATTGTGACTATTTGTGGAGTGAGGAAAATTTTTACCAATCAACGATGACTTAATAATCTAAATCCATATAACAAATCAAACTAACAAAGACTCCTTATAAATCAAAAGAAAACAATTCAATTTAAACGATCAAATAACGAGCAATGTAAGATGTTAAGTAACTGTATTTAATATAATTTTATATATCAGTATGATTATCAAATATAAACTTTTCGGCTACACATAGCCTTCTTCAGTATAACTATTTAATATAAACCTTACATATTATAAGTTAAAGAAAAATTAAAGACATTATTGTTGGTAAACAATGTGAAGCTGGCATCTCAAAGTCAAAATTTCGATTTATTTAATAGAGTTCTGGTCCTTCCCCAAAGAGTTCTAGAGCTCCTGATAGGTTTTGGAAAGAGTTCTGACGATTAAATGCAAAAAAACATAATTTAAAAGTTTGGGGTGCCAACTTCATGTTTTCGAGAAACCAAAATTAGATATAACTTTTTTATTTCAAGTTAGAGCAAAAAAAGTCACTATACTGTTTGATAAAACTCTTGTAGAGCTACCTAGAACTCTCAATAAAATACCGAATTTCGAAAAAAAAATTTCTGATCCACGTGAACTTAAAAAAATTCAAAAGTGGAACCTTCAAAGTTCTAGAACTTTTTAGATATTGGTTTCAGCGCATCGGTTATTATAGATAATCGTTAGAATTCTTGCATAAAACTTGTAACATAGGTATTGAAAAACTTTTGAACAGACATTCGAACGACTCTACATTGAAAATGGCTCATAGGATTAAGTTGTGACCTTGATAACTTTTCATCATTATGGCTTAAATAACAAATTGGCAAAGTTATAGCCAAATCCGCGGAACCCCATTTCCGATAAGGATAGTGCGGGGTCCTTTCGTCTTTTGTTTCAATTTATTTCCCATATTCCAAATGCTTGTATTAAGTTGTTATTTGAATGCAACATTTCCAGATTCTGTGTTTCAGTGAACTTGTGAAGATTAATATCGAAAGTGGTCTTATTGTAGCGAAATTATTTAAGATGTTCTACCAATAGATACCAATAGATATCATACATAGACAGGCTTATATGCTCCTTAATACTCTTATACTTTCATATATAAATAATCTTTAATAATTTAAGCTTGAATACTTGCCACTTTTCCTTGTCCATTCTCCTTCCTGCAGTTATCAACCCTTTCGTCATCAATCCTTTTATCGCTATTTTCTATTAACCCAATCATGGTAACGTCTTTGTAATAAACGGAAGTTTTAAATCTTTCTTTGTTGTAGGTCCAGGGAGGCCACCAAAATTGAAGAACATTCCATGCACATGGTGCGGAGAGACTAAACTACCATTAAAGTATGTTCTTCCCACACAGAACGGCAAGAAAGAGTTTTGTTCAGAGACTTGTCTGTCCGAATCTCGCAAAACCTATACAAGGAGTGTTTGTGTACAATGCGAAAGTGTGATAGGAATCAGAGGTACACCTTTTAGACTGGAACAAAAAGATGCTCCGACAAAGGATTTCTGTTCTGCATTCTGTTTAAATGTATATCAGAAAAAAGAAACGCAAACAGACACAAAGAAAAGTGAGTGACTACTTAGTTTTGCATAAATCTACACAAACTTATATAGCAATTTAAATAATTTTTAACAAAATGAAACAAATGTTTAATTATAGATAGCAGTGATCCATCGTTACCATCTCCTATTCCATCTCCAGCTCCATCTGGATTGCCAAGCAGCAATAATGCACAAACGACACAATCTTACACAAACACAAATAATCACACGACTGCATCTCGTCCACCAACAACATCTACTGGAACATCTACTGCATCGTTGCAATATGAATCATTTCAGACTTTTGATTGGGATCTTTATTTAAAAGAAACAAACAGCATGGCGGCTCCAATCGAGTATTTCAAGCAGGTACAGAGTACAACATACTGTCGTTTGACCTGTCGATATACAATTTTTATTTAACGTTACTGCAGAATATATAGGTTCAGTGCTTACTTACTGCTTGCACATTATACATTTTAAATTATATCGAGAGTATACAGGGTACATAAGAGTCAATACAACGAAAAAAAAGTTTTCAAACCATGAAAATTTAAACTAAAAGTATATAATAGAAATTGAAATGCCTTTAACAGTCGAAGTTAGATCTATAATGTTTTAAATAATTTAATGTGAATTATATACACTATGCAAAAAAATTAAAGGATCACTTAGTCCACCCCCAAAAATAGGTAAAAATTCAGAAGAGTGTAACTTCGTAAAAAATAATCAATAATGAAATTTTTAAAAAAGCATTTTAAAGCATGAAATCTCTACTTTCGAAATTGGTAATTGATATTTCGATTTGATTGATTTTTTACGCAGCTATACGAACAGAAATGGGTATCCGTTAAATCTGAAAATTTTGTACAAGCTTTACAAAAGTCTATGACATGAACTAAAAATCGCACACAAATGCGGTTTTAAACAGTCGAAAGAGTGAATCTTTATCTTCAATTTGCTTTTTTATTGAACGTTGTACGATTTTTTTTCGACGAGTTATTCGACATTGAAGCAAAAATGACCCTTTTTATTAAATGTCGAATAACTCGTCGAAAAAAAATCGTACAACGTTCAATAAAAAAGCAAATTGAAGGTAAAGATTCACTCTTTCGAATGTTTAAAACCGCATTTGTGTGCGATTTTTAGTTCATGTCATAGACTTTTGTAAAGCTTGTCTCCCGCGCTTGACTCCTACTGCCCTTGTTCTTTCATTGTTTTTATTCTTCAATTTTATAAGGTTTAATTTAAATTAGCGCCATTTGTAATGAAATTTTGCAGAGAAATATGATTCGAATCATTCGACAGTTATATCTTAAGCTTTAAAACGCATTATCAAACATTGTCCCGCGATCATTTTTCACGGAGATTCATGAATTTTAATTTTGGTTCTTTTTAATACCGATTTTAAATGATTCTTTAATCGTCTGTTCAGATGTAGGCAAACTTCAAGATAGAGGAACTTCGTGAAAAATGGTCGTAATGAGATTTTTAAAAAAGCATTTTAAAGCTTGAAATCTTTACTTTCGAAATCGGTAATCGATATTTCGATATGACTGATTTTTACGGAGTTATACAAACAGAAGTGGATATCCGTCAAATCTGAAAATTTTGTACAAATTTTACAAAAGTTTATGGCATAAACTAAAAATCGCACACAAATGCGGTTTTAAACATTCGAAAAAGTGAATCTTTACCTTCAATTTGCTTTTTTATTGAGCGTTGTACGATTTTTTTCGACGAATTATTCGACATTCAATAAAAAGGGTCATTTTTGCTTCAATGTCAACTCTTTCAACTGTTTAAAACCGCATTTGTGTGCGATTTTTAGTTCATGCCATAGACTTTTGTAAAATTTGTACAAAATTTTCAGATTTGACGGATATCTGTTCGTATAGCTACGTAAAAAATCAATCAAATCGAAATATCAATTACTGATTTCGAAAGTAGAAATTTCATGCTTTAAAATGCTTTTTTAAAAATTTCGTTATAATTATTTTTTACGAAGTTACACTCTTCTGAATTTTTACCTATTTTTGGGG